TCCGATCTCCAGTTATGACCTAAATCAGGTAAATAAACCTGGTTTATTTTTTTAAAGAAAATACCTTTATGCAGACAGTCTGTAATGCACTGTGGTTTCGATGTGCAATAGTTTGTACAATGGTTTATTCCCAAATATGCCTTAAGCAGAACAAATGTTTTCTATATAGTTCTTTACATAATAAATATGTAATATAAATTTAAGCAAACTTCTATTTTGTATATTTGTAAACTACGAAGTCAAAATGAACGTTTTGTTGGAGTTTGTATTTTGCATATTCAAGTTGAAAATAAGTTTTAAATAAACCCGTAATATTTTATCTGAATGGCTATTCTAATTTTCTTCTGTGCATGGGTATACCAAATGAAACCTTATTTTTAAAGATTTGTTAATGACTGTTTCCCAAGAAGGGGCTTTCAGACTTCAGGCTCTAAAAGATCAGGACGGTGTACTTTCAGTGTTGATGTAAAGCATAGTTTGAGGGGGGAAAAGTGTACTGAATAGTTTTTACTCTGAATATCAAATTGTCACTTAGCTCACCTGCACCGTGAAACCAGCATTTGCCCCTTTTTGAAGGTAACTCAGTTGGAATTACTTATCAGAGGAAGCATACCCTTTGAACATGTTAGACTTTGTATTTTCAAAAATAACGAATTCTAAGACTGGAAATCTTTTTGGAGAGGGCTGACTCACTTGGCCTTCTTGAGATGAATGATTTTTGCTTTATTTTTTTCAGCTCCTCAGATAAGCTGGTATATTTATATCAGTATTGGAAAAGTTCACTGAACAGCATCTTAAAGGGTAAACTTGACTCAAGGAGTACACTTTGAGTGCATGCATAAAAAGCTTTTAGCAATAAATACATGGATTGTCATGTAACTTGAAGTTTGATCTGTCCTGCAAATTCAGTGGATTGGCAATATTTTGAAGACCCAAAATTCCAGGAGGAGCCCTGGTACACGTCTGTAACGTGGAAACATTAGCCACGTAGAGAGCCTACAAATTGAGTAGCTGTACATTTAAGATTTAAGTTGCTATAAATACTCAAATGTACCTTTGACTTCACTCAGTTGACTGCAGTTAACAGAGCTTATGCGCCTCAGGTAGTTACCATTTTTGTTGTAGCTGTCCTTAGGGACCTCATTGCTTTAGATTCTTTACAAATACGTAGCAGTAAGACTATTGCAACACTAATGCTAGCTGAATAGGACCTGTTTTTTTCACTGTTCTTTGTAAAGAGAAGAAATGATTCCTCTTCCACTGGTTTAAAATATCAGTGAACTAGGAATTTGGATATATATTGTGTTGAATAAAAACTGAGCATGGAAAAGAAATTACAGGCAAGATCCTTTCATATTTGTGCAGTTGTTAAAACAAGAGTGGAAATATCAGCCTTTTTTTTTCCGAATGTACCTTAGGAATGCTATTAGATTTCACATTTTGATGTGTTCTTTGTGTGGTTAGTGGTGCCACTTCTTTCTAAATCCGTCCAAGTAACATAATGGTGTTGAAAAAATATTTCTCACCCCTTATCTCCTGGGCATGCTTTGTTCAATTGAAAGCTGTCTTTGTTGGTTTGGTTTATAGGTAACATGGGGAGTAGGGAATGTCTTGTTTGGTTTGCAAATAGCAAGTATTCAAAGCTAAATTAAAGTTATGAGTCACTCTTTATCTGAAGGTTTTTCAAGTGAAAACTTTTTAAAATTAAAATAGTCATTTTTGACCTTTTCTCTTGCTTTGTCTGTGGATTTCTCTTGTGGAGGAGATACTCAAGCTCAAAGTCGCAACTGTCATGCCCTGTGTGCCTGAACTGTAAGTCAAGACTTGGTTAACGCTGGCGCACACTTGGCTAGCTGTAGCTATCATCTTTGTCTATATGACTGCCATTCAGAAATGCTTTAAATCTGTGTGAGGTTCACATCCTAACACAGTCGTATATATTGAGTTCTGAAGATTTCATGTGAGAAACTATTACTTTTGCATTTCAAGTGTTCTGTCACGACAAAACCTTAAACTTTATCAGATCTTTCATAAGATGCTCTAGCATTTGGTGATCTGTATCTGTTAAAGCCAACTTCAGTTTCTGTCTGGTAGTTTTGTAGATCCCAGGTTTATAGTTGCACATACAATAGCATTCTTGAGATAGGGCTTTGTTCTCTTCCAACTTGAAAATAACTTTTTTCCCCCCGATCCTAACCAAGCTGACCTCATGTATGACTTGCTTTCCAGAGCTAAGCAAACACATTGGAGCTTGGTATTTAAAAAGAAATGCTACTGTTCCTTTAACCGTTTCCAAAATGCTGCTCCTATACTTTTGGGACAGGAGCCAACACTCAATTTTTGCTCTACAGTATGTGCAGCCCATGAGAGGCAGTCCTTGTTCTTAAGGAGGTCTCTAGGGGAAATGCTGAAGCGAGCAGTTGTACCAGTTGTACTCGGACATGCAGGTAGAGTTAAAAATAGCATGCTGGGTTAGCCACCTGTTCTATTGTGTCTAGTGTCCTGGAGTTGAAGGCAAGAGCGTAAATGGATGTGGTGGAACAACGTCTGCTATCATAAATGTATCCCATGAAACATATGCACAACACCAAGCAATCTTGTAAGAGTATCTTGAAAAACAAAAGATTTGTTTAGCATTGCTAAAGCCGTATACGCATGCTACTTTGTTCAGGCTTGGGCATTTAAAAAGTACATTTGAATTTCCTAGGGATGGCCTCTCTGACCTTCAGAGCTGCCTCCGAGCACTCCTTTCACTTCTGAAGGAAAAGCTCTAGAGGCAGCGAATGATCTCTGCAGTCAAACAACAGCCATCCTTAATCCTCTTCACCCCTAGCCCAAATCTCTCGGGCTCATTTAACATGTGAAGATGGAGCTGTTTAAAACAAGATGACACATGTTTGCCTGCAAAGTGCCAAGTATTCAAAAATGGCATTGGAATAAAAATCTTCTCAGAGCCGTAGCGCTTCTGTGCACTTGTCTGCTTGCACACCACAGAGTGGAAGTTGGTACGCTTCAGTCTCATGTGGTGTTTCTGATCTGTGCAAATGCTTTCCCCCGTCAGGTGAAGCTGTACTTCCAAGAGGGTTGCTCTTCCCCCACGGGGGTTACCAAATCCTGCCGCTGCTGAAGTCAGTTGTGAATCTCACAGGGATTTCTATTAAGCTGATATGAATCAGTGAAGCTCATTCCCCTTCTCTTTAATAAGGGGAGATCAGAGACTCCTGCAGTTAATCACCCCGAGTGCTAACGGTTCAGCTGAATTAGTTTACACAGGTTTCCTGTGGGAGTGTGCTAGACATTCGAGCCTGCCTGCTTCCATTGAAGTCCCTGGCAAGCACTTTAACAGCATTTGAGTGCAAGAGTTTCCAAATTAAAGCAGTTGTAAACTGTATTCCTTCCTGGCTTTTCCTTCTTCCTATGCATAATTGGGTTGTTTGATTTCAAGCAGCAGGAGAACGGGACCGTGCTGCAAATGCATACGGCCTGCACCGACCAGCAGTCACGCTGCCGTAGTCTGGCAAGGGCCTGGTTCTTGCAGGAGTTTTAGTTAGAGGCAGTAAAGCTAAGGTATGATGAGCAAAACTCACACAGAGAGGAACAGAAACACCACCAACAACAATAACAGCAACGCATGTTGACTTGCGCTTGCCAGGAAAGCTCCCTGGACTAAATAGTTGTGTTCAGGCTCTCCGGGCACAGTGTCAGAGACTGAATAGAGGCACACATATGTAAAAAAGGGGAAGGCCCATCGCTGACCGAAATTTAATTGAGGTCACGTTGGCTTCGAGCCAAGGGTTGACGCACCCACATTCCCCTGTCTGCAGTACACCTGGATGACGCATGTTTCGTCTGCCCTTTGCTCCCACAGTGACTTAGCGGGGGGATGTTCGTGTTACAGCTGAGGGCCTTGCCACCAAGTGCAGAAGTCATCCTGGAGACGTGAAAGCGTGTGGTGGTGTCATCTCCATAGCTTTGTTCGCTGCCCTGGCTGCAGATAGGTATCTGCAAGACTCCTTTTTACCTTTGGATGCTTACCTGTGAGTCTTCGGGGCTGGAACCTTACTTGTGTGAAAGACAGGAGGAGAAATGTGCCATGCGTTTTATTAACATTTCTCCTATATTTAGAGCACATATGCTACACAGAAGGTGAACAACCTTCATAGCCGATTACAAGAGGTATCTAACAACTAGACTTTTCCCCTTCTCTGATGATTTCCAGGCTCTTGATGCTGGGATAGCTTTCGTAACAGAGACGACGATTTTCACGTGAACCTGGTCAGCTCAGTGGTCAGCGTGGTGACCTGTTTATTAATAAGTAGTTTTAAGGAAAATGCCAAGTCCTTTCACTCAGACGCTTGCATGAGCTTCTGAGAAGGGTAAGCATGTGCTGCTATCACCTCAGCCATCTTGCTAAAGGTTTTGCATGGTTTTGCTTTGGGTTTGTTTATCAAGCACAAGCTAAGGCTTGCTTAAATCTTGCTATTCAAGTTCTCCCCTATTAAAGTTTCAGACTTTATTCAACAAAATGTTACAGCTTCTCTGTACTGGTTGGCTAAAGACGCTTAATTATAGCACCAGACATCAGGCAGTTATTCAGAATGATTTCCCCCACTGCCACAGCAATTAGAAATGGTCTGATAGGTAACGTTGCACAGCCAGCACACAGATTTATTTACTCAGAGTTCCCTCAGTGGTGTCTGGTGTCTGTTTTTGTAGAACCTGGTGCCGGTGCCGTTGCCTTTGCTGTTGGCAGGAGCAGGGTTTCTGGTTCACTCTGCCCTCCCAGCCGTAGAAAACCATGGAAAAACTAGCTGATTTTGCTGGCCTTGGAAAGCTGCCACACACTGGCTTCCCTGTATCCCCCATGCGTTTCCCTCAATGCAGAAACACTGCGGAGAGGGCTTTCCTCATGCGTATAACCAACTACTTGTCAAAGTTACTGTGCGAGTTTAATTTGTGCATCGGGCCTTTGAAAGGAGGTCAT